AAGTTCCTACCCGAACAATATGTACGGGACAACTTTTCCAAACTTCAACACCTAAGGCAAGGTCCCCGCTCAGTTGAGGACTATACTCGGGAGTTTGAAGAACTTTTGATGAGATGTGATCTTCACGAAAACGATTCACAAACATTGGTACGTTACCTATTTGGATTAAACACTCAAATAGCTAATGTAGTAGAACTGCAACCTTATGATACCTTTGAAGAGCTCTCTAAGCTGGCTCTCAAAGTTGAGTCCCAACTTAAGAGAAACAAAACCTCATTTGTCTGTACTTCACCCTTTTCCAAAACCCCTCCAACTACCTCAAAGATAACTCCAAACACCCCTGCTCAAAATACCCACTCAAAACCCAACTCTATCCCGTCTACGTCCACCAATCCACCCCAATTCAAAACATCCCAAACAAACACCCGGACTCCCAAATGTTTTCGTTGCCAAGGCATACGGCATTTTGCCAATGAATGTCCCAACAAGAAGATAATGGCCATTGTTGAATGCGAAGAAGAAGAGATCAGTCCTTCGTGGGCTGAAGAAGAGCTTGAAGAAGAAGAGTGTGTTGGAGCGGACGAAAGAGAACTCTTGGTCATCCGAAGGGCCTTGAGTAACATAGCTAGTCCCGATGACCAACTACAGCGGGAAAACATTTTCCATACCCGTTGTACTATTCAAAAGAAGGTATGTACTTTGATCGTGGATAGCGGAAGTTGCACCAGCGTCGCTTCAAAAACGTTGGTAGATAAGCTGAAGTTGAAGACCTCACCACACCCGAGGCCATACACGATTCAGTGGTTGAACCATGGCAAGGGATTACATGTGGATTCCCGGAGTTTGGTATCATTAAGCATTGGACGAAGTTATTCCGACGAGATATGGTGTAATATCATCCCAATGGATGCCTGCCATGTGCTATTGGGACGACCTTGGTTATTTGATCGGAAGGTGTTCCATGATGGATATGCCAACACATATTCATTTCTCATCAACAAGAAGAAGGTTACCCTCACATCCTTGCCCCCCTCTAACCCCACAGCTACCCCCCCCATCCGAAGAAGAAACCCCCGTTCTCATTTCCACTATATTGCAAGCCGAACACCATGAATATGAACCCCAAAAAGAACTGATTCTCTTTGAAAATGAAGCCTCCGATTCTGCCACACCCTCAGCACCACCTCACCCGTTAGCCAAGCCTATCGTTGAGCAATTCTCCCATGTCTTTCCCGAAGATGTGCCTCACGGCCTACCGCCAAAACGAGACATTCAACACAAGATTGATCTCATTCCTGGAGCTGCCCTACCAAACAAGCCTGCGTACCGAATTAACCCTGAGGAAACCAAG